TTATTTCCTGGGGTTTTTTCCCAAATATATAGTGAAAGCAATAAATAAATAGAAGCAAGACAGGTTTTTTTTTAAAGATTAATTTATTACAACCAAAAAGAAGTCAACCTGTAATCTTTTAACTTTTAAATCTATTAATATAATATTTCGTTATTAAAAGAAAAACCAGCTTAAGGATATAATTTTTTCTAAATGACTTATGCAATATTTTCTTAAGTTAATTTATGTGATCCCACTTGACAGGATAATTTATTCAATATTCTCAGCGTTTTTTACATTTCTCTGACAATATAAATAATACTCCTCATTTCTTATAAAGAATCAAGTTAAATACAACTCAAAAGAAAATAAAAATCAGTTTGTTAAAACCTTAGAAATTTGAGTGAACGATTCAACGAAGAAATTCGGTGAGAAAGAGTTAATAAATCCTATAAATGCTAATTTTAACATAAATTTACTAAAAATTTATAACTAGATTCGCAAATACATAAACTATTCCACATTTATTATTGTTGTTATTAATCATTTCATACCACGAATGCTAATTTTCACAGAAATTTTTAAGAAATTGAGATCTAGATTCACAAATGCACAAACTCTTGCACATAATTGTTATAATTAAACACTTCATATGACAAAATTTCAACTGAAAAGAGTTTCGCAACGGATGATTTGAAATGGAAAAAACTCTAGAATGATGATAGCAAGAAATTTAATCATTGACATTGATTTGAAATAGATTCTTAAAATCGAGTATGCAGTGCAAATTTTAACATAATTTCGCGAAATAACTATTACAAAAGCCTGACCATATTAAACACAAAATGATCGAAGATTACTTTGCTTTTAATACGAATTGAATAAGCGCGCTTAATCATATAAAAATGCGGCCCTAAACATTGTTCAAGTCTTGGCCAAAGAATACCCAAGGTTCCAAATTTTTGTTCGCCAAGGTTCAAGTATTCAAATATTTTCGCAAAAAGGCCGTGTCGTATCCTAGTTTTGACAATCTAAATTTTATACTAAAATATGTGAGGTCATATAAAAATTTCTGCGAAAAAAGAAACCTCGGGTAGTAATTTTTCAAGATCCCGGATCCATATAAATGCTGGGAATGCTTAGTATACTTTATTACGATTATGTAATGATATATAATAAAACGATACGAAAATAAAGACTCCATATTGCAATTATGTAATAACAAAACGATATAAAAGGCACTAAAATACACTATATTAATATTTATTTTAAGCTTTCTTTAAATTAAATTATTTTATATAAAAATACTTTATTTATAAAATAATTATTAGTTTTCCTAAAATCAATAGAATATTTTATTGTGTTAATAATCAATATTTATTTCATAGAATATTTAGTTTGTTATGGAATATATTATTTTAGAATATTATATTATATAGATGAAAAAAATTTATTAACATAAATATAAATATTTTTCAGGGAAAAAATGTTTTAAGATGATAATCCTTTATGAAATTCCAAAATGTATTTGTTTTTCTTTTCTAATATTTATTTTATTTTTACATTTTATCATTCTAAAATTTCCCAGGCAATTTTGGCAATATTTCCGATTTCAATAAGATTGGGGGTGGGAAAATGATAAAGAAAAGAAATGACTTTACAAGTGGTATTATAACATAAATATTTTCTGTTATCGTCTCTCAAGTCTTTTATCATCATTTCCCCTCATAAAAATGAAACGGTTATAGCAAAAACAATTAAAAATTTTGTAAATAATTAAAATCAAAAAAAAAATTCTTTTATTAATAAAAAAGGGGGGACTAGAAATTGTATAAGTAGATAGGAGAGGAAGTGTGCTTGGAATGTACTATATTTACTTAAAAGAAGGGTGCATAAACGACACTTATTTAAGGTACCAAGTTCTCTTTTTGAAAAAATCCTTGTAAATCGACAAAAATAGTTAAATTGGAAAAAATTACAAAAAATTTATCAGAATTGTAAAATTCAAAGAAAAGTTTTTTATTGAAATTATTACGATTTCTCCATATAAAATTTAAGTATCAAACAAGTACATAGATTTCTGTTTAATTTCAAGAAAAAGTGCAATTTGGTTTATAAATACATAGCGAATTTTTAAATACATATGCAGTGTGTATAAACGTGATAATACATTTTTTTCTCCCTTTTTTGGTTTATGGAAGAATTATTATTAAAATTTATATAGTTAAAAATATAATCAAAGCAATTGATTATTTATTGTATGTTGTAGCAACAAGTACACTTCAAAATATTAAAATAAAACTATGGTCATTCTTATTTAGTTAATACTGTATAGTTACTATACTATTTCTCCAGTGTTCTCCCTAAACTTTTTTAGAATGGCCGCCCGCACTGTCTGCCCTTTGATCCCTATAAATGAGCCCTCTTTGCCCTTATAAGCATTATTTTTTTTTGGGGGGGGGTGTCATTAATAATTTTTGAATGATTTAAAATTATTTTAAATAAATACCTTTAAAAAAAACCTATAAATGTTTCTTTTCTCATAATTTTAATTTTAAATTGTAGAAAAAAAGCTTTCAAGTTGTTTATAAATTAATCTTTTTCTTTAGTTTACTTTTTTTAAAAAAAAAAATTATGCACACTGATTTAGCATGCTTTTAATTATTTTTTGAAATATACACATAAAATAGTTATAAGAGGGAAATTTGTAAATTTTTGAGGATCAAATTCATTTTTGACACAATACTACACATTTTAATACATTTTTACAGTGATAAGTGAGTGCCTTTTCAAATATTAAAGTGCCCTTTACTGAGAAGTAGTGCTCAGCACTTTTTTATTCCTAGAGAGAACTCTGATTTCTCTTAATGAATAGTAAAAATAAACTATTTGCAGATATCAAAAATATGCTACACTTAATATGAATTGTTAAACTTTAATACAGGAATATTATAGTGAGATTATAGTTTATTTGAATACAGTTAAATTTTTATAATATAGATAGTTGAAAATTATGAAACAAAAATTTATCCTGCTTTATAACTGTTGAAGTAAATGAGCAGTTTGCAATTCAATATGATCCTGTATATTTCAACTGAATTACAATTAGAATATAGATAACTTTACATTAACAAATTTACAGTTAGAAAATTACATAATTATGTTAAAAAAATTTTTTTAAAAACATCTGGAAATAAAGAAGAATAAATTATCTTTAATAATTCATGCTATAAAATTTTTTTTTCACAAAAAAATTTGTACAAACACATCTTGTACAAAATTTTAAAATTATTTATTAACTATGCAAATATTTATAATATAAAAATCCTTCCATTAATCTTTTTTTTTTTTCATGTTCCATATTTCAAAACATATACTTGTAAATATAAAAATTAAAAATATTCTCAAAAAGTAATCATTGAAACATAACTTCACTAGCTTAAGAGATACCTACAAAAATATTAAATAATTAACTTTTAATTACAAACAAAATTTTCTGCAACAAATTATAATTTAAGTAATTTAACCTTTACTTTAAAGTGAAATTCAGGAAAAAAATGTACATTTTCTGCAAAAAGATATTCCAGACTACTTTATTCAGTCATTATGATAAAGTACTTTATAAAAAAAAAAATATGCTAAATAGAAACCATTACTTTATTCTTCAACTTTTATAGCTAACAATTTGGTTTTTAAATTGTACCTAATCTGTCAGTTAGATACTAAATAAGCAATAAATTTAAAAGCATTGAATTATACTATTACAGCCACAAAATTTAAACAATCTATAACGTACATCAATTTCATGACTGAGTAATTTAATTGTTTGATTAGAAAAACTTTTTACATTCTAAACCAACTATACTATTTAATTAAATTAATAATGGCTAAAACCGATCACCCATAAATGTTTATTTAGACTAATTCACGATTTTTCATTTCAGTTTCATTTCAGAAATCTTTAATTATACCAAAACTGTGTCAGGTTCTAAATAAGCAATAAATTTAAAATCATTGAATTATACTATAACAGTCACAAAACTTAAACAATCCGTAACGTACATCGACCTCATAACTGAGTAATTCAATTGTTTGATTAGAAAAACTTTTTTACATTCTAAACCAACTAAATAAACTATTTACTTAAATTTATAATGGTTAAAACCGATTACCCATAAATGTTTATTTAGACTAAAAGCATTCAAAACTTTTCATTTCAGTTTGTTTTCATAATTATAAATATAAAAAAAAATCAACCTTGAATCACAGTCAGATGACAACATCACAGACCATAAACAATTATTAAATCAGATATTTAGAATAGATGCCGGTAAAATCGGACTCTTTCTTTCGGCAAAGTAATCCTATAATAAAACAATAACTACACCAATATAAACAAACATACTATGCCCTCATTGTAGAAATCACACACATTTGAAAAACTTTAATAAATACTTTTGTACACGTCTACAAACTGCGAAATATCTTAGCATTTTTCTTGTCAAAGCAATTTTGCATCGTTACATGGACCGATGATCACGATTTACCTACTTCGTTGGAGTGACAAACTATCATGATCTTTCATAGATTTACTAAAATTACCGAGTCAACAAAACTAATCATCCATAAATATTTATTCCATCTAAAAAGCAGTTGGTCTGTTTTTGTTCGCGTTTGTTTTCATAAACGTAATTATAAACATAGAAAAAAATTAACATTTGTATTTATTCACAGAAGACAACATCATAGAATTATGAATTAATTTTATCATAAAAGCATTTAGAATACATGCCGGTAAAATCGGTAACTTCCTATTGACCACGTAAATAACACGTTACCAGTTATCAACATATTACCGATTTTAATAAAAACAAACCTCGTAACAGAAAACGTAAACATTAAAAGACGTCTAAAAACTTAAAACCAATATCTTTGTACACGTCTACAAACTGCGAAATATATTTGCATTTTCTATTCAAAGCAATTTTATATCTTTATATGCACCGATGATCACGACTTACCTACTTCGCCGGAATGACAATCTATCATAGTACTCCAAAGGTACACTAAAAATAAACATAGTTTAAGGTTCCTAAGAATTGTATCCATATTTGATATGAGTGTCTATGAGCACAGATTTATTTTTATACACAAAAAACAACTATAGATGATGATATTAGCCACTACACAAAATTCCTTGGCATATTACACGAACTCATTCTTGCACTCCAATATCCAGTTTTCGTGGAGACTCGTTTACCATCAAGATGCCGTGATCCACAGGTTCGACCAGGGCATTTCTCACTAAAAACACACAGAGCTTTGAGCTACCTGCTTAGGACTGCCTCTTTCGGTGAGTAGAGAGGTTCTGACGCCAAATGGAGAGAAAACAAACTCGCCAAGCAGTTGGCTCAGATTTTGGAATGGAAAATTTTCAGAGATGGAACCTAAAGCAATGGGGGGAAGAAGAAATGATGGGTATTACTACAACAATATTTTATAGTTTTAAAAATTTGTTAAAAGTGAAAATTGTATGAGCCTTTTTTCATTAAGATGAAATAAAAAAATCAAATTGGCTGTTTTAATTTTTAAGAATTCTTCTATGAAATATTTTAGGAAGTTATTATGAACCATATAGAACGTTTATTTTATATAGAAGGCAAGAGGAAGAACTTTTATTTTATTCTTTTTATAACGTAATAAACTTATCTAACAGATTGAAAAAAAATTTGTGATAAATTATAAAAACAAAAATTTATTATAATTATTTTGTGTAGAATTTAGTAGAATGTTTATGAAATGAAAGAATCAATTGTTTTCAAGTTAATGAAATTAAAAAAGAACTTTATCAACCATTTATTTTATGTAGTAAGCAAAAATAATATTTTCTTTCTTCTTTAAAATGTAGTGAATGAATTGTGAATGAAATTGCATGGTAAATAATAATAACAAAAAATTTATTAATTTATATTATATAAAATTTAGTAGAATGTTTATAAAATGGAAGAAAAAATATTTTAAAAAAGATCATGAAATTAATAAGTATATCAACGGTTTATTTCATGTAGAATTCAAAAGTGAATTTTTTTTAAAAATGCTGTGAATTTATAAGATAAAAGGGAAAAATTTTTATGGAAAATAATATGCGTCGATGTAATAATGGGTGAAAAAAAAATTATACAAATCGTTTATTTTAGATAGAATTTATTAGAATGTTCTTAAAATGGAAAAATAAATTATTTTAGAAAATATAATGAAATTGAAAACTTGTATCAACAGTTTATTTTAAATTCAAGAATGGATTATTCTTAAAATAATATGAACTTATTGATTGGAAGGGAAAAAAATTTTAAAATTATATAAATTTACATAAATTTGGATGAAAAAAAATTATGTGAATCGTTTATTTTACATAAAACTTATTAGTATATTTTTAGAATACAAGAATAAACTACTTTTTTAAAATGTAATAAAAATTAAAAATTGTATGAATTGTTTATATTGTAATAAAAATACATAACATTTGTGCATCTTTCAAACAAATATTTATATCTTAATTTTAAACTTTCTGCAGGAATATTTGTGTCGATATAAATTTCATTTTCGGTAATTCACATTAAAGTTTAAACGTCACTAAGTTATGTTTTATATTTTAGAGTTTTATATTATGGAGTTTTATGTTGCTTATATTGTACTCTCACCTTAAATATAATTTAAGGTGGGATTTTACGTAAAGTTTAAAAGCATTTGATTTAAATATGTGAGCATCGAAACACGTAAATAAGAACTTAATATTATTATTTTTATAATATAGTAATAATTAAAAATATTAATTTCTTTGATATACTATTATTGTTAAGAACAATAATACTATAATAAATGGAAAAAATATCTTTTATTTTCTTGAAAGCCGTGAAAAAGAATGCAACTTTGCCAAAAATAAATTTTAACAAAAAATGCTATTCGTATTACAAACTATTGGAACTGATTATTTAGTAGAATAAAATATATGAAAGTATTATTCAAATGCAGAATTCTAATTTATATCTCCCAAGAATATTTTACAGGAACACTCTGGTAACAACAATTTCATTATACATAATCATCACTAAATGAAGCAGAAACTTTCTAAATCGTTTTAACTCTTTCGTTACGAGGGCCGTATTTAGCCGGCCTTCTCGTCATGCCCTTTACACAAGGGCCGTAACTACTCGGTTTCAGCGAGATAACGTTTGGTAACCGTCCCTATCTTCTTCAAGCTGCCACTGACCAATATTCTATTTATTTATATTGGATTAATGCCTCTAAAAGTATATTTTGAAAGTGCTTAATACGTTTTGAAAGTCGAAAGAAGTTTCTTCTGCGTGTTACATTTAGTAGTGAAGTATTTTCTTACTAGAAAAGTAAAAAAAATAGAAGTCTTAACATGCAATGTGCACACTTCGCGTCATGATGCACCATTCAGTGACGTGAATTCAGTACTGCAGTAATGAAAGGGTTAATTTTTTTAATGCAAGCAGTTGATAATTTAATATATTCTAAATCGTTTACATCCATCAAACGATTGCCATAAGGGCCGGGATAGCCTGGTTGGTAGGGCACTGGGCCCATGTCCAAGAGTTCGTAGGTTCGATCCCCTCTGGCCGAAGACTCCCCGTTCAGAAAACGGTGACTGATGCACGTTAAATCTGTCGAGTCGCAAAGTCCTCCATGTTCCCGTAACAAATCAATACCTCCGGGGGTACTGATCCAGGAGTTTCATCGTCTTCTGGGTTGGTTCAAAATTACAAAGCTACGGAAAACTTGGGTCGGCTGTTCAACGGCAGATATAATATAAAAAATTAAAAAAAAGAAACATTGCCATAGAGCCATGGTGGCTCAGGGGATTGAGCGTTCGCCTCTCGTGAGGTGTTCCAGGCAAAGAATATACATAGGCTAGATTGCGTCGGCATTATGTAAACCAGTCCTCCAAGGTTTGGTGTGGTCGCTGTGTATAAAGGAAAAAACAACATTTAGGGGCATGTAGCATAAGTTCTTAAAACTTGTTTCCACTCTCCTCTCCCCCCTACAGAAAAAAAGTTTTATCTTTTTATTTATTACTAGTTTTTTCAGCATTTTACTCTATTGGTAAACGGTACTGTACTGTTAATAAATATATTCCTTTGAGAATACATTAATATCTTCCATGTTGATTAAATCTGCCAACACATTTTGACAAAGAAAGAATGAATAAAATGGCGGTGCGAGTGCTAGCGTACTCAACCATACATGTAGAGTTGCCAAACAATTGGTTCACAGTTGACGTACCTCCTGACAGTCACTGGGCCCATCGTGTAACGCAAATGCGAGTTAATTTAATCAAAAAGTACTCCACGAAGGTTAATTTGTCCCAATGCTAGATCCAGAAGTTCTTTTGTCTTCAGGGTTGGGTTCAAAATTTCTAGACTGGGGAGTTGACCATTGATATTCGTCAACTCAGAATTAAATCGGCTGTTAAACGCTGGTTATAAGAAACGAAAAACATTCTCATAAGTGTTTTTAAGAGAATTCTTGCCTTTATACTTATTTCAAGAGATTGTCATTAAAAAACTGTATGGTATACAATTACAGAACACGAAAAATTTACTAACTTTAGTTTTCTTGGTTTTTATAACAAACATAATTTATAGATTATTGAAGAATTATGCGAAAACTTGCAAAGAAACTGCAATATAAATTTCTCTTATTTTAAAATTTCTTGACCCTAGAGTTTATTTCGCTTATACAAAGTACCCACTAAAAACTGAAAAATACAAGACAATGAATTTACAAATACGGCATTTCTTTAATAGATTCAACAGGTATTTTAAGCAATTTGTATAAACCTTCAATAATACTGCAATAAGAATATTGTCATTATCCTCTTAATTGTTAAAATTATTTAGGTTATTAATTTCTTGACGCTAGAACTTGCGCCATATTCGTCATGTGACAGTAAGACCCCATAAAATATGAAAATGACCAACAAAAAAAATAACACTGCATATTTCTCAAGTTTTAACATTTTATTTTCAGTACGTAACACTTACCTACATACATGTAGGTAACACGTACCTACAAAAGAATTTTTTCCCCGTTACAATAAGAAAATAAAACAATAGGATTATTTTTAATATTAATGAAGATGCTTATTGTCCATTATTATTTCAATGTCTCAGAAGAAAAAAAGATATTTATTTACATAAATAATAATATAGTAAATAAGTGCAAATTGGAAAAAATTAAAAACCAGGATGTTATAAATTTTTTAAACTCTTCAATTTTTCACTGATCAACCATGCAACCTGTAACACTTAGAGCGAGGCATTTTTATTTATTTTTCAAAACACAAACATTGATTATTTTCTTTTTGATAACACTGCCTTTCCCATTAATTACATTTTATTTTTAAACATTTATTAAATTTCATCACTTACTTGTTTATTTTATTAAGTATCACAAAAGAAGCATTTTTACCTTTCATGATATGGTTTTTATGCACAAATTATGGATCACATTTCTTCTGAATAAAATTCTGCGAAGTTCAGTTCTGCATCATGAAAATCAAGAACTATATATTTTTTTCATTTATAACCATAGAATAATAAAATTAGTTTATTTTTAATACTATCATCACGGTTAGATTTATTTTTATTATTATTTTAATTTTCTACATGAATGGAATATATGAAACTCTAATGGAAAATAAATTTAAGTTTGAAAGACCTAAAAACCAGTAAACTATAATTTTTTCAAACTTTTCAGTTTGAAAAGATAATGTTTGAGTTCAGCTTTCATCATTTTGAATTAATTTTGATCCAAATAAGTGAAAAAAATATTATATTTAACAATTTAATAATTTATGATTATGAAATACAGCATGAAAAACTGGTGTCTTTTCCAACGTCAAAGACAAAATTTCCATTCACGGCACACTTCCAAACAATAGTTTCTTAAATTTGCACTTATTAATAGTTATTTAGATCTAAGAGAAACCATAATTCATTATTGAAATTTTTTTAATTTGCAAAATCAATTATTGAAAATTTTTTTGTATATGACTGAAAAAAATTCTTTCTACTTTTTTTGAATTTTATATTTTAGTACGGATATAATTCCGATAATCTAAAAGATTTTTTTAAAAACTATTAAACTGTTTTTTATATTTATTAAATAGCAAAATATATTTTTGCATGTAGTTAGAACGTCAGAAAAAAACATAAAAAATAGACACTGGTGTCTCATTGATATTAATGAGTTATATAAAATATTGCATTATTTTAGCAAGAAACATCGACATTTTCCTAATAGAAAATAAATTAGAATTAAAACGACTAAAGACAAGTAAAT